CCATGTTGGCCCAGGAACACTCAGCTCCCCAGGGGTTGAATGCAACTCTTTGGTTGATTTAACTTACAGCTTAATCAGGAAGGTGTCATCTTGTATGCTTAGGTCTTACATCTGCAAACTTCAGGTTTGTCAATATTGAATGGGAATTTTCCAGTGTAAGAAGCTAAAGTTGTTTCTCAAGTATGGTGAATGTCTTATGTGCTGCAATCAGAGCTACAGATAAACCAGGCAGAAAAAGTGTTACTTACGGAATATAAGCCAGTGCTAGTCAGAGGCTGCTTCCTACTCTTGCTCTTTATTTTTTCACTAGCCAGCCCAATTGAAGGTTGATTTAACTCTGTGGGAAACATTCATTCTGATTTCAGACTGTTTTGTTAGTCAGTGAACTCCTAGACGGGGTAAGGTAAAAGTGAATCCCCCAGACAGCAATACTGAATAATAAGGCAGTGGTGCAAGTGTGACAATTTAGGGAGAAAAGGACATCAGGTCCACCTTAATTGACCAAGCACCAGAAATTTCAGCAATTTCTTCTTTCTTTCTTAGTGACCTGATCTTAAGGATTTAGATCAAGACTGCTGTCAAGAGCACCTCAAGTCCCAGTTATTTGCAGAGAGAGCTGAGGCTTTCTTACAGGGGGTGAGTACAAACTGTGAGCCTGAGTCTACCTTTGGCTTAGGTATATTTGTTTCAATTGAAATTACGCTTCTCTTCATGTATCTAGAGAGAACACTTGGGGAAAAGCTCATGGTTCTTTCTGTCACTAGTATAAATGACAGACATATTAAATACAGCAAACAAAAACTCTGGAGTAAACAAAATCTGCATTTATTCCTCAGTCATCTTTTTACAAGATTGCTTCATGTTTTCACAAAAGAACACATACCAGAGATACATGAGTTAATCTACAAAACCAGATATTCAAACCAAAGTGATAAGGTACATGAAAATCCACACGCTTTGTGATGTAGTTGCCACACACCTGTCACTTAAATTCAAGGGAAGTTGCTGTGAGGTACACAAACACTAGTTCTGCCACACCAAAATGTGATCACTAACTCTATGGACATAGCTAAAAAACATATTTACAAAGTGTTATCTCTACCAATTGTCATCTAAGTTTGAAACAGGTAGTTAGTTGTTCAGCTACCAAGCCTTCATGGAAGGTGAAACAGTCTAACGTCCCTAAATAGATTCATGCAGTGTTTAGTTTTATTCACAGGAGATACAAGAACAAGTATTTATTAGTGATGATAAAAGTAGTACATGAAGATGCATCATCCCCCTGGAAGGAGTTAGAAGCATCAATGCTCATTCGTTTATCACTGGTGTGGGTGCAAAACTTCCATTGCTATCACACATTTCATTCCCAAGGTAAGAACTCTCCTGCTCACTGGTGGCTCTAAGGGAAGGGTATTCAATGCTTCCAGATCTCCATTAGTGGAGAAGAGCTGACAAACACCTTCTTTTCTCACAGCTCCTGTTGGTGAGGGACATTTTGCTGAAAGAGACCGACGGTGATTTGTAGTGTCAGCATTAAATTCAAAATGCTAAAATACCTTGACTCTAACTGCAGCAATTTAACCACCGCAGAAAAACTGTCTCTTGATTGAGATTCCTTAACTGTTAAAAAAATTAAGGTTCGTTTTTATTTTTACTGATCAGGATTGGTGCAAAGTAGATTTTTTTTTGGTAGGGAGGCAGGGAAGTTAAATTGGGCTCTTGTACTACTCACATCACAAAAAGTGGATCTAATACTTCCCTTATTTGATTCTGTAGAGCTGCACTGTTATTCCTGTTTGGAATGAAGCTATAGCAGTATTTAGTTTGACTTTAACTTTATTCAGCTTCTAACATTAGAAGGAATATGAAAATAAAATTAAAAAGTAACTCCTTTTGTAGTCTCCAGAGTGGATTATCCCAAGTTGCCAACTGCTTATGCTGTGAGGGTACCCAGAGGAGTGACTGGCTGCAGGTGCTCACAAACATAGACATAATAGTATGGACATCTTTCTGCAGTAAAAGTTTTCACCCATTTCATAACCTCTACAATGTACAACATATAAAAAGAGTTGGAAAACCAGTAGTGTCCCATCTCGTGCCTTTTTGCTTCTAATCCTGATGTCAGTGTTAGACTACTCTAGTATATCTTGCATCTAGCATACCCCCTGTATCTATAGGAACGGGAATAACAGCATGTTAATTTTTATAGGAATCAGGTGATAGCTGTCATGTTCCCATGAAACGGCCTTTAACTTTTACATGTCAGGAAGAATACTATGGTGTACGCAAAACAAAGACTGCATCTTGGCATTTTATCCCTTCCACCACAATTGATGTTTCTATATCATTTTCAAGTTATCTGCAGTCACCTCTGACTGTCTGTGGATATTCAGTTAAATGGAGGAACAACATTAGTACAGTGCCTTTCACACACAAATCTGCTCACAAGCACAATAATTCACAGCCTCCAAATGCAAACACATAAGCTAATACATAAAAAGATTATTATAAGCAAACTCAAACAGATGCAGGTGACTTATTAGAACCTAGGCACCATATTATTATTACCTAGTAGAAAATAAATAATGATGTGTCAAAACAATAATTTAACACAGAAAGCTTTAGCTATTAGTCATTACAGAACACATTTAAATCATAAAATCATAGAATCATAGAATAGTTTGTGTTGGAAGGGACCTTTAAAGATCGTCTAGTCCAACCCTCCTGCAATGAGCAATGACATCTTCCACTAAATCAGGTTGCTCAAAGCCCTATCCAACTCAACCTTGAATGTTTCCAGGGATAGGGCAGAGTAAAACAGAACCAAAACCAAACTTGCGCACGCACGCACACACACAAAACAGCATGCTGCTCAAAGTGCAATGAGACAGAATTAGAGAACCATTAAAAAGAAGCTGTGTCAAGTGATTACTTAACTAAAATTACAACAGCCAGAAAAGATCACAGAATTGTTAGGATTGGAAGGGACCTTTGGAGATCATCCAGTCCAATGCCCCTGCCAAGGCAGGGCCACCTAGAGCAGGAATGCATCCAGGTAGAGTTTGAATGTCTCCAGAGAGGGAGACTCCACGACCTCCCTGGGCAGCCTGTTCCAGTGCCCTGCTACCTTCAATGTAAAGAAGTTCTTCCTCTTACTGAGGTGGATACAAGATACAAATGAACCTCTCTGGAAACACTTTTCTCAGGCACATTGCAATACATAGCAGTGATGACTAGCAGTATAATATTTTTACCCTTAATGACAATAAGAATCTTGGTAATGCACCTCCTTTCTGACTCAGTGCTGCAGATCCAGAGTCTATAGGGCAATAAGAAGAAGTACATTTGGGATTCTTTCCTCCTCCACTGTACACCTGCAGGCCCATGCTTGTGTTTAACCCTGGGTACGAAATGGCACCTTCAGTCACTGTAGAGACTTCCTCAGTCCAAACTCCTCCAACTGTCCCCCCCTTCAACCTCACACCCCACTGCAGGAGCTGTTCAAAGGATGAAACAGTGGGGCGGTTTACAGATATGACTCTAGAGTGGGACCATCATTATCCATGTTATTGAGAATGAAAGTTAATGCCTTATGTAAGCACATTGCCCCGTTGCACAAGCCAGAAGCTACTGAGGTGTCCTCTCTTCAATATATGCCTTGTTAAAGGGCCTAACTTCTCAATGTGAGGGAAATACATCCAGCTATTCCACCCTCTCACATGTGCCTATTTCTGACAGAGCACTGTGTGGATGTGCTTAACAGAGGCCATGTTCTCCTAGGGCTCCTGGAGGATTTATGGTTGACTCAGCACAGTACACTCTAACACTGGGCTGATCTTCATGGCACTAAGCTCTTAATTACTACTCAGATGTATGTATCAACAAATGATAAATCCCCTTAATTCAACTGAGCAACAAGCAGAAAAGACTGTAGTCACACCGTTATTTTAGTATAGTGAAAAAAGTTCAAAATTACAAGCAATTTATTCATATCCATGTAAAATATACCACAGGACAAACAAAGTCCCAGCCCAATCCTACAATACTGGCACTAAAGTGCAGAATGACATCCTGTCATTCCGAAGTGGTTTGCTGCATTTTAGTCTGATCATCGAGTTGTTTACTGGACAAAAAGCTACAATGAACAGGAGTGGAAACTCCAGACCTAAGAGAAAGGTAGTTTTTCTATTTATTTTTTACAGGCAAATATAAATTGTGATTGAAAACAAGCAGCCCAGTTTCTACCTAAAAATTATATGCTTGTTTTCTTGCTTTGAGACTATTCAGTCTTTTTCCAAATAAACTCCAATTTCTCCCTGTCAAAGCTTGCTTTAGTTAAGACTACAGATGAGGACTTGATGGTGTGTCAATGTGTGATAGCAGTAATGGGTCTCATGCATTTGCAACCACTAGTACAACACATCAGCATTTCTCAGATTGCACAGCTATAAGAAGTCCTATTCATTTACAGGAACAGTCTAAAGAGATCTACTACAATGGCTTTAAAACATTGGATAGAACTGGCTGTAGAGAATGTGATGGCCACTATGTCCCACTAATGGGCCCCTTTTATTTCAATATGAATGCTATCCAGAAAGGACAAAGGTGTGAAAACCAATCATTGGGTGGTGATGAATAATACTGTTTTGTCTTTATGTTGATCCCCTTTTAAAAAGACAGAATTTAAATATATAAACCTATTAAATATATAGATAAATATATAGAGATAGCTATGTTAATATGTAGTTTGATTAGAATTGGGTTAAACAAAAAAAACTAAAGGCACCACAATATATCAGCATTATTGAATAAAATACTCACTGTCATTTGCATTCATGTAGTTCTGAAACCAATCAGTAAGAAAGCCATATAGAGCAGGGAATAAGTCTCATTATTTTAACCTCAGAACTAGGAAATTAAGGCTCAGATTCACTTAATGATGTGCCACATTCAAACAATCTCAGGTGAAGAATTCAGCAGTTCTGAGTCCCAGTTTTTTACCTAGTTAAGAGTCAGAAAGGCTTGGAAGCAAGATAAGAAAACTCCAGAAAAACAGTGGATTTTCGTTTGGGCCTATACTCAGAGGTTATAATGAGCAAAGCACTGACTCTCCTCTTTGCCAATGGTCCTAATCAGTCATATTAGCATTAAACAGATTAGTTGCTATAAAATCACTGCTGTTAAAATAACTCTGAATTCTACTTGCATATTGGAGAACAGAGTTTGCATGGGTACAAGTGAATAGTGCCTTGTTCTGTTTCTTGTTTAATTAATCCAAGTGTATTTAAAGCAAGCAGTAATTCATCAGGTCAAAAAATCCTGAAATGTACCATATCACAGATGCAGCAAATTCACCTACACGCAAGGAAAGCCTCATTTCTCACTTCCACTGGTGTTACATTTACATGGTTTTAACTATGGTTGAGCTAATCCTTAACTCATTTTAACGTGATAGGAAAAACAAATTCAAATCTTCTACATAAGGCAGCTTTAAATTTGCTGCAATTTTTTCTCCCAAAATTATTTGACTCTGGTTTCAAATCAACCTTGGCTACAGATATAACATAGTGACAGACTTTCTTCTGGGCTGAGATGAGGAACAGTTAATTTTCCATGATAATTTGGACTTCAAGAAGCCTTTGATAAGTAAATGAGGATATAAGACTAGATAGAGAAAAGTTCATGAAACCAAGCTAATGTAGCACTCCAAGACAAGGAGAACATGCTGCTCCAGAAGAAACACCTTCCTACAACCTGGAGAAATATTTTCCTTCTTTCAACAGCTGAATAGAGAAGAAGTAGCTCCTCAATTCTGGGACTTGTTGTCCTTTAGTTGCTGTCCTGCAACTAAAGTGCTGTTGGTCCATTTAGGAGAAGTCTCAGTCATGGCAGGGGGGTAAAGCACCAAGACTGGTGATATTTTCAAACCTCTTAGCAGTAGCAACCACACAGCGGCTTTTCTGCAAAATAAATAAAACAAGAATCCAGTTAATTCAGCAGTGTATTTTTTTGTTTAGTTAAGTGTCCTAGAACAACCACATGGTGGTTTCTTTGTGCATAAAGAAAAGTAAGCAGCACTGAAGCTTCTTACTTACAAAGGGTTCTTGCAGCCACTTTTTTGTGAAATCTTTTATACAACATTATAAAGACAAGGTCCTTTTGTTAAGTGGAGAATTGATCCTGGAGGTCTCTCTTGAAATGCAGCTATTCTGCTTTTTTGCCTCTCTTGTCATACAGATCACAGCATGAAAAGGCATGCTGCAAACCTCTCCATTTATTTGTGTTACCACTGCAAGCATTTATAATGCCAGGTCTAAATCAACTGGCACTTGAGTACATTATTTTGGGTTAAATGTGGTAACTATACAACTTGCCTGACAAAAATAGCTAAAGGGATTCTTTAAAAATATGCTATGACTATTCTTTAAAAACTGCTATGACTTTAGATCCACTCATTAAGTAAGCTCAAATAAACTCCAAAAAGAAAAACACACACAGAGGAAATAACACCGCTAAAGCCAAAACCAGACTTTCCTGCAAGTTAGATCATGGGTAGGTTACTATGTTACAAAGCTATTAAAAGTTTATTTGAAAATAATTTTGACCACTTTTGGACTGTCAATTTATCTCAGAGTTGACTTTGGTTGTAATAGAAAATTGTGCAATACAGTGCTTCCTGCATTAGAGAAGGAGAATTTTCGCCATTTTATTGCTGTGCTTGTTGACACAAGGTAGTGTCTTGAAATGGGAAATACATATAAAAACACCAGCCTTACAACAGGTCAGGGAAACTTGTTTAGAAAACTATGATGTAGAAGCACACAGGTGAGCGGACCAAAACTTCATACAATCTGTGTCAGCATCAGTGAAGTGAGGACAAATACTGAGAATCACAAAGAGATATTAATTCCCACTGGATTTGCACTACAGAAGTTGATACTCAAATACTACCATATCAGGAAGTTATATAACTTCAGAGAGCAAGTAGGATATAATCATGACACCTTAGTCCTTACTGGCCTCCACTGTATGATGGAAAGGCAGCTTCAAGTCCCTGAGATTTAAAGATCATTAACTTCTGTGTTACTACACTGCACTGTATAAAATCTGTTCTAATCTTACTTAGTCAAAACAGAAAAAAAATTCCAGCCTCTCACAATACACTCTTTTTCACATGTTTCTGGACAAAACTTGTTGCAAAAAACCCCAACACCTCACTTGCCTACCAAGCAGATGATGGATAATGGCACCATCAAAAACTTGCTTGTGGTGAAAGGTAGAATACTTTTATTTTGGCATCCTGTTGTTAATCATGACGCACTACTAAAAGGAAGTGGTTTTACAGTGTATGTGTGTGTTCTCAGTCTAATTCACATCTTGACCCTCCACTACGTTTTGCCCAGAGATGGCCTCCAGAACCTCTGAGTGGTTCCCATGGTCCTTCAACAGAGGCACCAACTTCTGTGGTGGTTGGTAAAAGCAGCTGTGGGAATTGGTGTTTTGGTTTATGGAGATACTGCACCACCTGAGGTAGCCTGATTTTAAAATGGCTGAGTGAATACGCTTTTGTCAAAAACCAGAGACAGAACATGAGAGCAGACTTGAGACGCCCTGATCCTCGGGGGGAGGCAACCAAGCCAGTCTGAGAACCACTAATGAAGTGTTTGTTAATGAAAGGGCAAAGACAAGGAGCCAGGAAAAAAGGACAGAGAGAGAGATCCTCTGTCAAAATTGTTTGGGTTGCTAAAAGGGAAGATAAGTGCCCTGTCAGAAGTGGGTCCTCAGAAGTGTGGAGCAGCCTCTTTTAAGGGACACCTTGCTTTGATTTTGTTACAGTTAGTGGAGTTGCCCTGAGGGTCTGGTCCGTGCCTCTGTTAAAAAGTTATTACTTTTCATATTTCTACCCTTTTTAAACTATACTTCTAACCACAGCATGAAAACCTGAAAGCTTTCAACACTGAAAAATTATTGGGTGAAATCCTGCCCCATGAGAGCCAGCAGGAGCATAACCATTCCTTCTAAAATGGTCAGGGTTTGCAGCACATATTGCTTCATGTACATTAATTTTTTTGCACATTACTGTTACTGGGTATAAGTGATAGGGCCAGTTTACATTTTGAATGATTTCCAGACAGAAGTAGGGATGGTGGTGGTGAATACAGTTTCGACCCTGTACTTTGGACTATGCAAGGTTGTTGGCTGCCCACTGATCCCTTCTGCAGGGGCTACAGCACTTACATCTGAAGAAACACTTGGGACCTGAAACAAACCTTCTGTTTGGCAGCTCTTTCAGAAAGGTTATTGAGCCAGGGGTGCTTGAGACACACCTTTAGCCTTTTTCTAAGGGAAAAGAAAAACGACAACAAAAAAAAAAAGGAAAGATACCATTATTAAAGCATTTAATTGAAAATCAGTCACATCTTACCTCTAGTTAAGGTAATGGCAGAAAAACACTGCAACATCAGATGTTTAGTGAAGCTATCTTGTAAAGCACAAGAAATACGAATAAAAAATACTAGGGGAGAAGATACAAAGGACAACATGAATTGTAAGGTTTGTATTAGGGTAGGGTTTCCCTGAGAAAAAAAATTGGTGATAGGAAGCAACACAGCCCAGCTTGTGTTCTTGCAGCATTTGGAAAAGATTGTCTGTTCCCCATATTGCAGAAATCAGAGCTTCTCTGGAGCCCAACTAAAGGAGATAAATTGTATGCTATGGGTTTCGTAGGATATCTGAGGAGGATATCTCTGAAGAGATATTATCTGTGACAAACTCTCCTATTTTTGCTGTACACACACACTTATAAATCTTCTAGTAATCTCATAGGCATTACTGTTTTGGGAGATTATAAAGAAAACAAAATTTCAATGACAATTAGAATATTCTTATATTATTATATTCTGTTTTACAGTAATTCTGGTTATCCTTACTCTGTATAACAGGAACATGTTGCAAGGACAGAACTGTCAAGGCACTATTCAGTCCCTCCTGCCCAGAACCCACACCACCTCATCAGCAGAGCTACCACTGCCTGATTATCATCATAATCTTTGCTCTTAATTTAATAACATTATTTTGCAAATTAGCAATATGATCTATTAATTCTTAATGATATCTGTATATCGAAAGGCACCTTGACATATACATCCTCAACAACATAGCAGCCATTTTATTTAACATCTATGTGCTTTGCCTGCAAAGGAGGAAGTGAATATTGCACTTCGAATGCTGTAAAAATTCTGAAACCTGATTAAAATTATCCCCTTGCAAACCACTGAACCACAGAGTGGACTCACAGAAACAGCCGACAGCAAGGTCACCAACAGCATAAATCTCCAGAAAAATTACTGACTACCTAACATGGGAATAACCAAAGTGATTTAAAATCTTGTTGATCCTCCAACTCAAACCAACTGAATTGTTCGCTTGAACAAACAACTTATTTTTTTGTGCTGCCCACAAAGCTGGCTACATCTGAAGGGCAAGAAGGTTCTTAAGTACTAAGAGATGCACAAGGTGAAATTCCAAGCTCTGTCGGGAAAGGTATCCCTTGGGAAGAGATAGGATGAAATCAGACTCATGTGGGACTTCAGGAGAGCCTGAAAGGATCTTCAAAGCAGGAATAAGAATCATCCCCAGTTGGAAAATCCTTTTCATATGGTAATTCAGTGTTCATTTTGTAAATACTCTTGTTTTGCTAAGAAATAGATCCACTCAGCAACACACAGTTTTGCATGATCTTACATTTCTTCACAGATGTGCAAGAACTGATGAGCAAGTGTGAGTATGCAAATCGGAACAGCTAAAAAAAAGCAAGGGGGCACATGTACCTCACAATGGCAAGAAATGAATCAGCAACAAAGACTCGGAGGAAGTTAAGGAAAATGTCAAAGCAAATAGTGATGGGGCAACACAAGAGGGCAACAGCAGATGTACAAGGATATCTAAATTTAGGGACCTGGAGTCTGTAGTGGAGCTCGTGGTCTGTTAACCATGGGTGTTTTAAGGCAGCAGTTGCACTTAATCTCCAGCTAAAGGAAAAACAGAATGTTATTAAGAGTTTTCCCCAGAATCTTACAGTTCAGCAATTATCTGCTACAGGTCATGTGTTCTGCCATCATGAATGCTGTCATTTCAGAACACTATGCCAGATGGCAGCTAATCCATGATTTAAGTTTTTTTTCACAGAAAAAATATATTCAGGTGACTTCAGAGCATTTTATGGATACAATGAACAACACCAATGAAGTGGCATTATAATATTCTACATGGATACAAAAAACTTAAGTCATATTAGTTCTGCAATGGAGCAGCACAAATGACACAGCTGTGTCATGATGGCATGGAGCACGCGTTTCAAAGATATAGGTATTATATACCATTTTTCCTTGATGAGAAGCTTTGAGATGAAATCTTTGGCCTCATCAGAAACACTTCGAAATTCCTCTTCTTCAAAATCCCAGTTACAGGCCAGGATATTGTTGAGGGTCTCGTTGTCATCATCACCCAAAAAAGGAGACAATCCACTGAGGCTGAAGTTAAAAGAAATACGTTCACTCCTCCTGTCTTTCCCTTTCCTGTACATGACCTCCAGTGTGCTACCTATGATTGTTCTGTCCCTACTGGCCTGTGTTGCAAAATGCTATTGTCTAAGAAAGTCCCCAGATCATTCCCATTTTTCATCTATTTACATGTTTAAATAATTACCCTTCTTCTCTAATAAACAAGTCATTACTTTCTTTCATGGTAGGTCATATTTTCCAGACCTCTGACCACTCTTGTACTACCCACTGGGAATTTACCAAGCAGTTTACATTATTCTGGAAGTGTGATGCTCAAACACCCATGAGGGATATGCAGTGAAACAGAGAAGAAAAGCTCATGGCAATTGGAAAAGAGGAGAGATTGCTCAATATGGAATTTGGAAAGAAGTCTACATTTCCTATCCTGAGTTCAGATTTTTTCAATCTGCCAGTATAGCAGCAAACTTGGGTGACTTACACAGTTCAACCTAGAAACAGCTTACAAAGCAGATACTGAATCCTACTTACAGCATATAAGCAATGACTCCTAAACTCCACATGTCTGTAGGAAAAGAGACAAACTCATAATTCACAACTTCAGGAGCAAGAAATTCTGGAGTCCCAAAGTTAACTCGAAGCTTTTCCCTGGGTTTATATCTAGGAAATGGGAACATCAATTACAGGTCTTATTAAAGGAATTCTGGAAGGAAATTCAGTAGGAAAACAAGGACAGACAATGGTACAAAGTAAAAACAAGTATACCCATATATTGAATGAAAACAATTTGCAAGCTTTATATCATACTAGGGCAAAATGCAACTGCTATGAAAAGGAAGAAATTCATATTTCAAGGACTTCTCAGAGTAGCTTTTACCATCCTTTTGGGACTTCTCCATATCACAGGCATGAAATTTTTAACCAGTAAATCCTTCACTGAGGTTATGGCACCTAATTAAACTAGAAAGTGATATAGCATGGGATATATTGTAACAGCCCCTGATGGTACATTACACTCTCTTTTGAAGAATCTCTTAATATCGCAGACAAGAGACTAGACAAGACGTACTGCTGGTTTTGTCCATTTTAGTTGTTCCAAGATATTTTTATGCCTGCTTAGTCAGAATCAACCCTCTTTCAACCATATACTTGAAAAAGGTTTCAGAACAAATTTTTTCCACTCAGCTCTAAACATTCCATATTAAAAGATATCCCTTGTTAAAAGAAAAAATTAATTTGTCCTAACAACAGTAGAAGGCCATTATTAATGAAATACATAACTGTAGAGATGCAATATTTTTTCCATTGTTTCCTAATCCATTCATGATTAGTGAAAACACATGCGTGTACCTTCTCGCCAATCCAAAATCAATAATTTTTATTTGATTTGCCTCTCGGTTCACACACAGGATATTCTCAGGCTGCCAAGAGAAACAAAAGAAAAAAATGCACTTTAATGAGTATGAAAAACTGGGCTTTTAGCAAACTGTAGGCAGAAAAACACTAAAGCAGAGTAAATATCTTCTAAGCACCTTTTGCTTTCCTCCTTGTTCAGATTTCTCTGCATGGGTAGCCCTCTTGCTGCCACGCAGCCATTGGAGCTGTGCATTCTGTGCTTTGCAACTGCTTTTTCCTCTCCATGGCTTTTCAACTTGACATAAGGCAGCAGTTCAGATAAAGAACACATTAGGGTGAGGGGGACAGGGAAAGCAGACTTCCAAAGAGGGGTTTCAGAATGCTGTCACTGGTGACACTGATTTTAAAAAAATAGAATTTGTTGGGCTTTGAAATTTATCTTACAGCTTTACATTTCTGAGTTCACAGATGTTCTGTCAGATTGAACATTAATATATTAAGCTAGTTGCATCAACTTTATGCTTTTCTCAGACATTTTAGCAAAAGATAGGATTCACAGGTTAAATCCCTCTGGATTTTTATAGGGCCAAATGCTACTCTTCACTTTCCTGGCAGGAATCCTTTAACTTCCAAGAATTACTTCAAATTCATACAGAAGGGACTGAGAACAGGATTTGGCCAATTGTCTTTGAAACGTAAATACCTAAAATACAGTCTCATATTCATTGCCAGCACTTTTATAGCTACTCTGTCTTATTGCTCAGTGAGTCCTCTTTGAAACAAAACAGCCCTTAACACTTAAAACATTAGTTAACCTTTGTCACCATTACTAATTCATTTTACATTAGGACTTTTAAACACCATATGTCCATAGTTTCTGAAGTCCTGGATGATTATGGTCACGATTATTTTCTTTCCATTTCAAGCTTTCTTTCCCAAACTCATTTGTTACTGACAGCAATCTATGAACAAGCAAAACAGAAGGGAGAAGCTGTAGCTGGCGAGCACATGAAAAAAGGTCTCTGGGATTAATTTCTTAGACTGTATATGTATCTTTTTGTCAGCAGTTTGACCTCATATTAAAACTGTGCCATCTCCAAGATCATAATTAATGTGTCCCAAAGAACCGTGTGAACTTCTGTTTGACAGGTTTCTAGGTAACTGGATGTTTATAAAGAGAAAAGTGAGTCTGGTCACTGATCAGCTACTGAAGCAGGTCCCAACAAGCATCTGTTCATTTGCTTAACCACTGCAACAATATATATGCTAACAACATTAAGGATGTACTATATTAACTCAGTCATTACAAGCCAAGAACAGCAGCCATAATAAAAATCTCACCAAAGAGAAAACCATCTTATGCACTTTTTGTTTCTTTTTGCTTTGTTGTAAAGCTCAGGGATCACTAGGAAGTTTATAGACAGTCATAAAACTAAAGCCATCATCCCATTTTATTCCTGCACTAAATAGAGGTAAGAAACAATTCTATTCTTCAATAAAAAACTTGTGCTAAGGGAGAAAGTCAGCTTAAATATACAATTTAATGAAAAATAACAACAAAAATTTTCTTAGGGGTGATAGTTAACCATTTGCAGCCAACCAGAGTAAGGATGTCCAACCGGTGGATTTATTTTTGAAAAGAAGTGAGGAGATTTTTTGTGTATATAGTCAAGTAGTTCATATAACTAAGCAGAAGATTTAACTAAGTACACAGTAGAGGATCTGCCACCTTTCTCTGGGCTTTCAGTGACACTGGCAGTTATTGACTAATCCAACTCAGACATACTGTATTTGTTACATTAGCCACTGACTATTTTTAGTTCTTTCATTTTAGCAAGTACTTTTTAATGCACTTTCCCTTAATCTGGTTATTTTTTCATGACTACAGCAGTTTAGTGTAGTCCTCAGAAACTTGTGCAGGGTGTATGCTGATCCTGAATGACCCTTGAATTTAGTTCCACTCACTCATGTCTTGATTTCTACATAGTAAAAAATTAGGATAATTGCTAATTAAATAATATTTGCACAATATCTTGAGATTCAAATGTCAAAATTGAAAACAGTAAGGTATTTGTACTCAGCTGCTGGCTTTCTGTAAAATCAGCCTGTGGAAAATTCAAGCACTACAAGGCTTGATGACAAATGACCAGAATTCTCATCTAATTTACTTAGTCCTGTAGTAATTTAACTGATCTCAATGTGGTAAAGTAAATATGCATTGGTATAAGGAAAGTAGAATAAGGCCCTCTGTTGTTTCTGCCATGGGAATCTGCTAAGCTATATGGTCTACCATTAAGAGTAAGAATTTCCACATCTGTCATTGCACAAAATATACGTCATAATACTCTACCTTGAGATCCAAATGAAGAATGTACATTTGGTGCATGTACTGAATTCCCTTGCAGATCTGTTTTATGAATGAGATAGTATCCATCTCTGTCAAATTGTAGTTTTCATCAATAATTCGGTCAAATAACTCTCCTCCTTCCACACTGGGGAGAGAAAGACAATAAAGCAGTGACCAAGTCCAAATCCAATCCCATGCAGTTAGATTAATACAGAATTTACACTACTGACTATTTTCATCATTGACAGTCAAGTGCGGTAAGATGGGTCTACAATATAAGCTTGTACCTTGATCTGAATTTTCCCAAATCTGGGTTCTTAAATTGAATTTAAGGCAATTATTTTGTGCCTAATTAGCCTTATAAACCAGCATAAAAAACAGGATTATCCTTTTAGGGACTGGATTAGGCACAACACCCGTATGTGGCTCCTCTTTGGTGTAAAATGCTTCATTTGCCCCCCAGAACTGGAGATATTCCGAGAAGTTTGTTTCTTAGCTGACACAAATTAAAATTATAAACCAAAGAGAAGATATATAACACAGGTCTTTCTTGAAATGGAGCAGTGGCTTTACAGCACCAGTAATGTGGCACATCACTGGAAAAAATGCATAAATGGCTGATGGGAAAACTTTTCTCTTAAATTCCCTTTTTTTTCCTGTTGTTCTTGAATACATATTTCACATGTTCTTTCCTGTAAGAAACTTTATTTCTGATTTCAGGAGAAAGCAAGAAGGAAATTGACAATTCTAGCAAAAGTGGTAAAGACAGAAAGGGAAAGAAAACACACTTACTATTCCATGACAAGTACAATGTCATTTTTAGATTCAAAGGCATCATACAGCTGGATGAGGTTCACGTGATTCAGCTGGTTCATGACATTGATTTCATTTTTAACTTCATCCTGTAAAGAGTCGTAAGTATTGCTTCAGATGCCTTTTTTCTAAGAAAGCTACATGAAACAGGACATAGTTTGAAGCAAATGTACATTATCCTCATGTATTCGCTTGTGGCAACCAAATACAGGGCTTTCCTTTGATTGCTCCTGCAGTGGTAGATATCAAGGCTATAGGAGTTACTAGACTGAACTCAGAGCTTGAGTGCGGGACTGCTTCAGTAATAACTATTTGGTGGAAAAGGAAGAAGAGAGCCCACTTGGACAAGTGGTGGGTTCACAGGGATGTAAAGAAAAAAAAGATGCAGAAAATGGCTTGGTTCAAACAGCTGTAGGTATACAAAATCAGGCTAAGAAAAGTCCAGGACAGTCCTCAAAACCTAACTTTGTAATCAGAGTAGAGAGAATGGTACCTCTATTCAGCCCAGCTATTTTAGACATGCAGTTTAGGATGGGATGAATCATTCTGTGATGGTGTCAGTCTCTCTCCATTGACTACAAAAGGATTCTTTCTGATCAGCTTGGCCACAGCTATACCTTAGCAACCTCAGTTAGCCGAGACAAATTCCACTCCTGAATACCATTAATGACACTGTTGTCATATAAAGGATGATATGCATCATGATATGAGAAAGTAAGCCACAGATGGCCAGGAGGTTTGCAAAACAGGCCAGATTAATTCCTCTCATCTGTATTTGTGTTGATTTCAGGAGCACAGATCATGTCTGTTATCAGTATCCCCCACAGTGACATCAAGTCATTGCAGCAAAGGCTACCGTGCCTTTGGGAGGCAATATGCTATGTCTCGGGCCTGACAAATGTTTTTACTATTAAAAAAAATGCTAGTACGATTAACAGCAGAAAGAAAAAAAAAAGAGTTAATAGAAGTTTTGAAGGAGAAGGGAAATAGCACTAGAGTCAATGCTAATCCAGCAGGTCCTATGAGTGTCATGGTTTGTGAGACACTTGGTCATGGTCTGTTGTGTTGCTGAAGAACAGGTTGGGATCCCTTTGGGAACAAAAGACTAATATCACACTCTACCAACCTTCTGTTTTGGACCTTTTGCTTTTATAATTTTGGCTGCTAGCTTGAGACCTGTTGCTTTCTCTTCACATTTGTACACTTGTCCGAATCGCCCTCTAGAGAAAAGGAGGAAAAAAAATCATCCAGTGGTACTGGTGTCAACTCTGAATGTAAACTGCAATATAAACAACATAAATTATCTTCTCCCTTCTGGATTGCATTTCAATTGCTCTGTTGTTGCTATTTTGTTGTGTAGATTATACTTGCTACTATTTATTTAGGCACACCAAAAGTCACACACTGTTCTATCTGGTATATCGCACTTATATGATTCACTATACTCAGCTCATAACATACAATGACTAATCCCAGAGCAGTCACCATACTCTAAGGATAACGACTCATGCATAATCTGCCTCTCTCCATCGCATCATTCTCCTCCATGGGAGGGTTGTGATTCCATGAAGAATCAAAGCCTTACCCAAGAGCACACTGCCATCAAAAACTACAATATCCCTCTATCCTAAACAATGTCAGCATGAGAGATCAAGGAATTACATGGCCTGTCAGATTAACCTGCTAATCTATCTGAAAATGCATGTGTTTTTGGGGATGAGACCCACTGAGAGAAAGAAGACTACAACATGTCTCTATGTCCTGCTGGCTGTAATGTGAGGTAAAGTATTACAGCATCTTAGGAGCCCTGTCATAAACCCTGAGGGCATCTTGCTGACCTAGAACAATACCAAACACAGGCCAAGTCTGCTGGTGCCAAATAGTTAGCCAAAATTTACTCACACTAAAATCAGCCTCCTCTTTTCATCCCTCTATAAAGTCTTCCATGACTTTGGATCTAGTGGGGCATGTTGCCTCCATTCGCCTCCCAGGCTGCTTGGTTGTAAATTTATGCCTTGCTTTCCAAGTTGATTTACTTTGTCCGACTTACCCTCCCAGAATTTCATCCTCATTGACATTATAATAATTGTTGATCCCCACCCTTTTGGCTGAGACAATCCGGTGATCAAATGGTGCTGGTGGAGTAGGAATATCATCTACAAAAATAAAAACAGACAGATAACATATGAGTGGTCACATGCAGTGCTTGTCTGTCTCATATTTTATTTCCTCTTTTGCCCAGATAAGTTCATTTAAGAACTGAATACACTTACTGCAACCTTTATAGATAGGTCTTTCTCTGTTATTTAAGAAGGGGTTTATTTCAGAAGCTCTGGTTCAGAAAAAAGGTTGTTATTTGGGAGCTACACTAAGACAAGGACTCCTTTATTAAGTTATCGTATTCTGCACAACAGTAGGAAAAGGCAAAGACCACTAGGCTGTATCAGTGTAGCTTTGTGCCCACAAAGGGCCTCAGCAACTCACCCTTATCTCTGATTTTTTAAAATATTTTTTTCCTCCTCAGGTACTCTTAATAGGTGAGTATGTACTGTAACTCTCCAGTGGGGTAGGAAGAGAAACTGAACTCTCCTCCAGACCCAGCTAAGAAAGGCTATTTCCCAGCTTTTGCTGTTCACAGTGAAGAATCCTCTTCTCTACTGATTGACGCAACTTGCCCTTTTCTGTAGTGTGGTCATCACCTTTAAAGATCACATTTAGAGCTTATGCACATGGGGAAGTTTTGCCCTGGCAGACAGCATTTAGGGTTTCCAGTATGGCTGTGGATCTCGTATGGTAGAACACATGGTAACTGACACATGGTACTCTGAAGAATTTTTGTCCTTAAAAAAGGATGACAGATAAAAGGTAAAGAGGGGCACAGAGAAGGGATGTGTTCCTGACATCACACTGCAGCAGCTATGGAGTTTCAGCAAGTCTCTGATGTTATTGTCTGGACCTCCACATGCTGGACCTTTCTGCCATCCTTACGTCAAAATCCCTGCTGGAGACCAGCCCTCCATGCCTAATTTGGACTTTTTGCAGGGTGTTGCGACTTCAATTTCATACCCACGTTGTTTTTCATTTGATTGATATTCCCAAGAGTGACCTTTGGCTGACCAAGGTGACAAATACTTCTTCAACTGTTTGGGAGGGCTACAGCCCCAGTGTTTCCACATGAGCTCTCTGGTTTGGAATGCCAGCTCCTTTTTGTGTGAGGCTTGTTGAGCAATTTTAAAACCATCCATTACTCCAGTGAAAAGGATCAAAAACACAAACAAAAAACCCCATGACAGCGTGTAGCTGGCAGGAACACTTTGGTCATTAATGTAGCGGTAGATTGTCCTTATTCACAGTGAATGTCCATTTTTCCTGGACACCAACTGTGTACCTAGATTTTTTTTTGACAGCATTAATAACTTACATGGTCAGGAAGTTAGTTCATGGTCAAGGAATTGTGAAAAGCTGGGGCTTCTGGAAGTTTGCCACCTACTTGGGATTCTGCAGAGTTTGAATTGCACAACCATAAGTATGGGTCTTTGTGTCTTACCAAGTCCCACAAAATGCCAAGAAAACCTCTACCCTAAGGCAGAATTTGACTCTAACAACACAAATTCCAAGGGCTCCAGAATGTAAGTGACAGAAGAAAATGTCTTTATAAAAGCTCAGCTCCAAACCACTACCCAACTTTGGGCAAGGAAATGTTCTTTTAAAGAGGTCAGTCTGCTTTTTAAAACTACATAAGTTTTTGCCTTTAAGATGTTTCCAGTGACAGAATTTCTATTTTTCTTTTCCTGAAAACCAGAGGGGATTTCTCCCTATTCAAAAATGACCTCCTATTACAGATCAAAGATGCTCCAGCAGAGACACTCTAACCTTAATGCCGTCCCTAACAATTTGCCAGAGCTCAGGATAGTTTATAAATTTTAAAGTTTTAGTACACTATCTCCTGTTTCCTGCTACACAAACCTAGCACAAACATGTAACAAATGTTTCCCTTCCACAATTTCCCCCCATTCCCAAAGCAAAGAAATTCATTCAGAGTCCTATGCATGCACATGCACACACAAATAGCTTCAAATCTTTCAGGCCCCCTCCTCATGTGCCACAATTTCACATACAGGGATAGGCACTGAAATTCTCAAGCTGGAGATCTAATATTAGAAATCTCTGCCTCAGCATGGTGAGCATGCTTCAGAGTTTGGTGCCTGAGCACCATTTATCTGACTGTTCAACAGCATCACTCAGGCTTCCACACAAAAGTCTGTATTTTTTTATAGGCTGTAGTTGTTCTCACTTCACATTACAATGGTACAAATATAAGCAAGCTGGTTTTTCAGGCTACATCCAGAGCACTGCAGATTCCCTGCTAACACACAGTTTCAGCACTTCCACAGGTCAACCAATTTTGCCACACATGATATAATTTCTCCCTCCACTTTATAGTTCGGAGTCTTAGCTCTTTTGTTAAAAGAAGAGGGAGAGAGGATAGTATTAGCGGAGTAGTTGTGGCAGAAGCAAATTAATTGTGTATAATTTCTGACAGAACAGAAGCCTCTAAGATGGAAGCAAGCAGAACTGTGTTATTTCTCATCAGCTTAGGACATGGTCCATGAACAACTGTTTCCTGCCAGAGCTACCATGCACATCTTTTTCCCCTACCAACTACAATCACGAAATAATTCTCTTCTACAGATATCTCTCTCTGTTCATCACCTTAATACCCATGGAATTATATGTTTTGCCTTTAAGATATTTCCTTTAGGAGCTTTTTATAGTTTTAAATATGTCATCAGCGCTTTCTGCAACTGTCCTGCTCTCTTTGTTATCATCTTTGATTAGACCTTCATCATTCACTCAATGCTTACTGCTACTGCTATGCTCAAATTGGCAGGTCTGCTCAGTATTGAACTATAATTTCCTGTACCTTTTTCGCAGCTTTTACACCTGCAAGGACAAAACATGGCATTAGTGCAGGATACACTTAAAGCAGAGCAAATTTAGAAACACAGGTGAAAAATGCTTACACATACATTGCATTCAAATAACGTTACGTTATTTTGTTTCATGGTGTAAAATAAACTGGTTTAATATTCACTTTGAGAAATAAAAATGGCCCCTAAATTAATCATGCCAGCAAAATATTTCTCAATTACCGAAATTCTCACCTGAGGTCTTCTAAACTTAACATTTGGCTATCAATCTCACCTTTAAAACAAGGGGAGAGTACTGGAATTTAACTATGTTCATATAGGTTCCTGAGAGCTTAAACCTGTTTATCCCTGAAGGGCTACATACAATGTAGCAAAGAAAGAATTACAGTAAATAAATTTATTAGTTTAATTGTCTGGGCCAAGTTTCAAGTTTGACATTGTTATATTATCCCTTAAATTACTACATTTTGCAATAAGTTAATTCCCAGTTGGCAATGGCCTAATTCCCAATGGTCTAATCTAACCGTATTTTGCTCATATGTTATAAGACACTGCAGTATATAAACTGAAAAATGGGAGCATTCTCCTCAGAGATAAAGAATAGCATAACATAATACCCATGTCCTTAATATTACCCAAGAAAACAACCAAAGCACACTGCTAATTCCATGTATGGTAGATTGTTTGACTGTCTGTTTTAAGAGTATAATTTCAGTCAGATCAGAGAGATAAACATATTTTTCACTTCTGCACTGGGCTAAATTTTCAACAATATTTATATTAACCAGCCACTTTGACTTCAAACTTGAATGACACATTTTTCTAAAGCATGGGTCTCTTAAGAATGTGCACTATAAGCTTCAGGCCTTACCTTCCCTCTGGTGCCTCTTGATCATAGCTTTGTTCTGCCTCATCTTCCTTTTGGGAAGGAGCTGGTGGTTCCTCAACACTTTTTTCACTCTTATCAGCATTTCCCACCCCTTCATTCTCCCTCTCCTCTTGTTGTTCATCTCCAGGCACCTGATGTTCCTCCTTCCTCTCCTCATCTGTTGGGGGCTCACTCTCTATCTCTTGCACAGTTAGCCTTTGACAAGCATCATCAACAGCATCTTCTTCCTGCTGTTTTGCTGGAGCCAATGACTCTTTAACAGAGTTTCTCCTATATTCTCCTATATTCTGTTCTTCCTGAACAGAGTTTCTCCTATATTCTTCTATATTCTGTTCTTCCTGAACAGAGTTTCTCCTATGTTCGTAATAACTTTCGAAAGCCAAACTCTCTTCTTCCTTCTCTGATCCTTCAGTATGAAATCTGGGAGGATCCACTTCAAGCAGAACAGAACTTTCCCTCTTGGCATTTTCTTCATTGAGCTTATCAACTTCTTCTTCTTGAGAGCAGGACTGGCTCTTCTGAATGGCCCCCTCTGTAAGTGAAGAGATTACAAAGGAATCTGTCAGTGGTTTTCTGATAGTCAGTAACAACATTAAAGTAGGGCTGTACACTTAGCATAAATTTAGTTGCATTTGGAACTAGGCATTTGCTTTTCTCTTCCACTGTCGAGGTCAGTTCAAGTGTCTCCTAAGCAAGAGCAGACTACTTATTCAAAACAGAGATGTCATGGGTCACAAATGCTTCCTTTGACACACAGCACTAGAAAATGTTTTTGTCACTCAAAATTATTGTCAGCCAAGTCAAGGTTAATAAACTTCTCAGGCAAAGCACTTTTTTGAGCTTGAGACCCTGTGTACAGGCATGTGAAAAGTCGATTGATGTTGCTTCAACAATTTTCACTCATGTTGTTGAGCACACATGTAACTCAAACAACTTCATTGGAGTTGCTCAGGAACATAATGGCTAGTTTTGTGCTATTTCTTAGGAACTAGAAACCGATCAGAGAAAAAATAGTCCAACCTGTTGAATCTGGTGGCTTCTTTTCTTTTGTTTCTGTTTCATTCAAATGTAACTTTTCTTTGATGACCTGTGGAAAAGGCAATTGACATATTAGTCAGTGTATACAGTTTACATATGGTATTGGTCCTCATGAAATTGTAACCTGATTTTTTTGGGTCAAATACAAATACTCTGTGTGTAATTCACACATTTCCTATAAATGACGGTCCTTGTTATAATCACTACCAAGCTGATTGAATTGGTACCAGTGTAAAGCAAGAGAAATTATCTCAGTTGTGATCAGCATCAGTGTTGGCATAAAAACAGCCCAGAAAAAATCAGGACTGAACCTCAGAGACTAAAAGAAAGAAACATCCAGAAATGAGCTGTCGCCCTGCACTAGCTTTTGCTGTTAAAATCTAGGTTAAACCAAGGCTCGGAATATTTAATATTCTAGTAAAATCTTTGGTAACGGTCTTAATGACAGATATCAAAAAGTTTCTTGCTGTTAATCAACATCTGGTAACGGCTTTTTTAATGATGCAACAATTTATTATGGGCTGACTGAGACAGAAACCAGGAATTGGAGCATACAAGACATAACTTCAGCTTTGTAGCCTTCTCTTACCTACACTTTACAATGTTGCAGTGACATCTAGAGGCGCTTCATACCAATTCAGGTCCTCTTAAAACCTCTGCTCTTTCAGTTACCTTTGTGGATATTTACTCCTATTCCTGTTGTGGATATTTACTCATATTCTTACGCTGTGTACTGTTTCTTCACTTGCCACTCCCAGACTTTTTAGTAGGGTGGTGACCATGGTCTCTGCTGTTGCTTGGTGCTCCTTTTTCACCTGCCTTCTTCTTCCCACAGTACTATGAAACTGGCACTAACATTATTATTAATAGATCCACAAGGTGTGAAAAATGCAGATACCTCCAAGTATTTTCAAGAGGAACTGCCAGCTACAGCAGTGTTATGTGTGTCCCAACAAAATATACAGGGTCAGGAACTTAATTTTGAGTGTCTTAATCAAATGATTAGTCCCACAGCTTAGTCATATTGTACTCTGGGCATGAACCAGTTCTATTACTAAACATTCGTTCTGGTAAGCCCTCTGCACTTTTTATGCCTTTTTTTTTTATTTTTTATTTTAACATCATCAGGCTATATAGAAAACAGCCATGAAATCAAAGCAATGTGTATCCACTATAAACAGAGTTCAAGGGAAAGGAAATTTCATGAGAAGCAAAAAAGAGTTGAGAAAAACTGAATGTAACTGCATGAAGGATTTCAACAAAACTTTTTCAGAAAATCTTGATCTGCAAGGGACAAGGAAACTGTAATATGAGCGTAAGATCTGAGACTGACAATTATTTGGGATGCAATTGGTCCCAGGAGGTTGCAGGCCACAAAATGAAAAAGGCCTCAATACAACTAGGTAAGTGCTCTTGAAATATAAATCAGAGCCTTGTTCCCACAGAACTTAAATGTAAATGTAATTATTCCAGATGGATCACAGGGAATCAACCAATGCTCATGTTGCTATTTTAATGGTGAAAGGCACCAAAAAAAAAAGGGGGGAAAAAACTCAGGCTTATTTATTCTGCAATGTGACTGCAATTAGTAATGCACTCAGATTCCTGTAAGTATGTCAGTCTCACCAGACCACTGAGGACATCAGCTCTGATCAAACACAGTCAGCTGAGCAAATAGTCAGAGAAATGGCATCCAAGCCCTTTGATGCATAGGGCCAGATTTCACTTCTGCATTCAGAATTAATTGCAGACACATAGCGCTTCCTACTAAATATTGCTGTAGTTTGCAGGTGTGAAATACAGAAGCCAGCTTTTGAAAATCCATCAAGTAGAAGGAACACTGGATGGTGCTGAATACCTGAGACTGCCAGGGCATTACATAAAATACTATCATGTTTATTCAAGCACTATTTCTGATCTCTTACATTTTAACAGCAGACGAGGAGCTCATACTAATTTAAATGAGGGGGGAAAAAAAGAATACAAGTGAAACATGTACTGGTATCCTTCAGAATCAATGTGCAATAAATGCAGGGGCAATAGTGCACTAGAATAAGATATACAAATATAAGGACTAGGTATCTGTAGACACATGAATAATTTATACATGAACATCCAAGTTTTCTACATGTTTAGCTATTTGAAGTAACATGCGACTTCAACTTGTCAAATCTTGACCTGGCAATAAAACCAAGAAATTTTGCTCATTATTTCTCCCCTGTAAAGGGCAGGGATTCACCGGGTTCTCTGGAGCTGACAGAAGTCAACGTATCCTTCCCATCCCAGCCACAGGAGGTACAAAGACCTCCTTGTAGTTCGCCTTGTAGTTTTTCAGGGACATGTGTGAAGTCCAATCCCAGGCAGCTGCTCCGAGAGCCCATTGGTCCCAAAAGCTTTGACACTCTTCTGAAAATCTCAGCTGAAAGGTCATGTGGTTCGTTAATTGCATCTACCCCACCTGAGTACACTTCATACTACTCCTCTTCCCTCAGCAGTGCTTTCTTAAGAATCTTTTTAGCTTTATCTCTAATATTTTATTTATTGATGTATTATTCTTCCTGAACTTTGATGACATGTGACTATTTCCAGTCTGTATTTTCTAAAATTAAAGAAATTAATATTCCTTAGTGGAAATTATGCCTCCATATTATTTTTTCTCCTTTCTTAATGGCTTGAATATGCACAATTGGGTTAATGGTAGTGCAGTCATTTTTCCTATTCACACAAGACAAAAGCTTTCAATTAATTTTTTATTTTCATTTCACAAAAGGTTAAATATAAAAGTTTGCATTGTGACTCTGTAATGTATACCAAAGCAAAAATGTATCTGTATCTATGCAATTTGTTACTGCATCTTCAAAAATACATTTTCCAGACTTAAACATAGTCTTTCATACAAAGTATTGCTAGACTCTAAGTAATAGAGATAGAATAAAAGCCCAGCTGATGATACAGAATAATGTGAGATAGCCCAGAGGCTGAAACTTCAGTGTAGACCAATGGAAAAAAATCCCTTTTGGAAATTATTTAAATTGACTTTAGAAACCTGCAGAAATTAAGCCATAAGCAATTATATACACAAATATAATATATTCTAACAGAAATTTCAAATGCAGCAAGAAATTAATGTCTTTTATAGACATCTGACTCCTTTTTAATGAGCTCTACATAGTTAAATTCCTTCTTTATACTGTAGCAGTCCTACACTTGGAATGTTTTTTTAGCTAACTTTCAAATTTTTTTATTCACCTAATAAAACTCTTTGATTCTTTTTTTTCCTACTGCAAAAATTTTTGTAATGAATGGCCTCATGAAGCAGTCTCAACCATTTAGTTAGACATCCTTTATCACCCATCCTTTATCACCCCATCACATTAAGGAAGCATGGGTTGTTTAGCCTGGAGAAGAGGAGAGATGGGAGACCTTATCACTCTCTACAACTACCTGAAAGGAGGTTGTAGTCAGGTGTGGGTTGGTCTCTTCTCCCAGGCAACCAGCTGTAGGACAAGATGGCACAGCCTTAAGCTGTGCCAGGAGAGGTTTAGGTTAGACATTAGGAAGAAGTTCTTTACAGAGAGAGTGACTGGGCATTGGAATGGGCTGCCCAGGGAGGTGGTGGAGTTGCTGTCCCTGGAGGTGTTTAGGAAGAGATTGGATGTAGCACTTAGTGTCATGGTCTAGTTGACAACGTGGTGTTTGGTTAAAGGTTGGACTTGATGATCTCAGAGGTCTTTTCCAACCTAGTTGATTCTGTGATTTCACTTTATATCAAGACATTATTCTCAACTTCCACCTGCCACAAACCTTTGCATATGCCTAACTCACATTTTAGCCCAGTGTCGCTTTCTCACATTCTTGATAGTTTGCAGAACTGTATTACAGCAAGATATCCTGGTTTTGTGTAAGGTCCAATCACCGTTCATTTATCAAAATGATTAAGTTATGATTAAGTTCCTTGAGATTTGTAATTAATGAATTTCCCTAACAGCCAGAAGTCAGCCATGGGCTTTGCCACCTGAGCACTGTACCGTGAATGCTCCCAGCATCTCCTCATTGGTACACAGTAGAATTCATCACATACCACAGAGACCCTGGGGCAACCACATGCACTGTGATGCCTCCTGTGCTATCCCTCAAAGCTGGAATTCATCCCCTCCTGCCCTTTTTTGTTCCTCTTCAATACACATTCCTTTTTCCCCCAGCAATGTAAAATATTCAGTGAAAGTATTTCTGATACAAACTTATAAATGCTACAAAGCGTACACATGGGAATTCTGCTTTTACTGGCAGGCAGTACATCCATTTCCATGTCATTATTTTTTTGCTACACTACAACAACTGCTGGCACCTTCAGGCAAAGGTTTTGACTCTTCCATGATTTTTATAGAGCTCCTTGAAGTAGATAAATAAATCATTCTTCTGTAAAAACCAAACTCAAACCACAAATATACTCTAATCACACACAAAAAATAAGCTCTGAGCCACGGGAATCATGATTCTCCCAATAGGAAATACAAGAGAATTTCTGTGTGACCTGCTGCCTTAAAAATACATTGCTAATGAGATAACAATGTCTGCTTGTGAAAAATCCCTCAGAACAACACCATCCTAGGGGAGAAGCTGCAGATCAGTGAAGCCAAAGCCTTGTCCATTCCCTACTTCAGTTTGCTGACTTCCCAGCTGCTGTGCTGGGGAAGCAATGCCTGTCCTGTTTCAAACAGATGCTTCCTCCTGATAAGCCATTCTTTTCAAAACAGGGGATCTTACACAGAAGAGTAGAAAAGGCTTTCATGCAAGCAGGCTCCTGATAGAGCCCACGGCCTCAATGAAGATGCAATATGTTGCACGAACTGTAACAGATTCTAAACATCTTTACTTTTGCCTTGAGGTCTAGCCACTGTCATTTAACAGAGGCAGTATTAAGCACAAGAAGAGCTTTGGAGGTAGATTTTTAACTCCAATTGACTGGTATAATTGCAATGTCTCTGGAATACACAAAGGCCTATAATAAGCACCAACAAATCTGAGGCTACCAATACACCCACTAAG